AAAAAAAAAAAAAAAAAAAAAAAGGATAATGAAATATAGTTGATAAATCAGGATGATTGGCACAGACTATTACAGTTCACAATACTATTCTTTTCATACATGAGAATGTTTAGAAAGCTCAACACATTTTTCTAAGAAAACAAAAAAAGATATATGTATGGATTTAACAACCAAATTACTCAAGTAAATAACTAAATACTAAGTACCCCCAGGTAAAAAGATAAAACTATTAGTCAAACTTGCAAACAATAATGAAACTTCAGCTTTGTTCTTTAAAAAATACAATGAAGTGGGGCTGGGGATTTAGCTCAGCGGCAAAGCACCTGCCTGGCAAGCGCAAAGTCGTGAGTTCGGTTCCCAGGACCGGAGAAAAACCAAAAAAAAAAAAAAAAAGAAAAAAATACAATGAAGTTTTAAAGTGTAGCTATACTTCTAAGTCTTGAATGATATAATCAACTTTATAAAATGTTGAGGTGCCATCATTATCATCCTATTATAAAATGCAAAAATTTTTAGCACATTGGTAGGCATGAAAAACAGTACACAAGATAACAAAATGAGTTACAGGAATAGCAAGATCTTCAGCACAAATGTTTTGAAAATAAAAAGTACAAACTGTTGTATATATACACATGCAAACAAACCTGGGAAATTCTAGTGGGTACTAATGGCAAAAAATAATGTAACTATGTTTATGCCATTTTTAAAATCAGATCTTTTCACCCTTTTTTTTTTTTTTTTGAGACAGGGTCACATTCTGCAGTTCAGGCTGGCCTTGAACTCACTGTGCAGCCCAGGCTGGCTTTGAACTTACAGCAATCCTCCTACCTCAGCTGCCCAAGTGCTGGGATGACAGGCATGTGCCACCACACCTGGCATAAAATCAGATCTTCTTAATTAAAATATTCTAACACATTACTTTTGTTTGAAAAGGATCTCGCTTTGTAATGCATTTTTCTTTACCTATGTTTTAAGGAAATCAAAAAGCAAGTTATGTAATGAAGCAGCCTAACAGTGTGGAAACTCTATAAAGAACCAAGCTCAAAGACACACATTGTTGGGGACTAATTAAATCAATATATCTGAGAGGTGGCAGCACTGCTCAGAGAGGTGGATTATCCTCTTGTCCTCATTTTTATTTTCTTTTGTGTTGTTTCAATTTCTAAGGACCCTTGATATTGTCTCGCCAAAAAAATGTTTCCCAAGAGATACCATTAGGAGGCTGTGGCATCACATGACATTCCGAAACCCTGCTAGATGGCAGACTGGGTGATATGAGAAATAGGTTTTCAATAGCACAAAGCAGCCCTGTTCCCATAGGAGCCTTGGGAACACTGTTTAAGCAGTCTCTCCAAATGTATGTTACTATTTCAGTCACACGCACACTCTTTCAACTGCTACAATATGCAATTAAAGAGAGACTTCCATCCAGACCAACTTGAAAACAATCCTGTCCACAGCAGCTTGTCCTGACAGTAATTTCCCACAATCTCCTTGATACCACAACTGTAACATGTAAGCACGAGGAATCTTACTTTAATATACAACTGTAAACAGTAAAGAGGGATTCATATAAATGCCACTATGTAGGAGATAAAGACATAAACGTGAAGAATGTATTTCAGCATACACTGCAATTTATCTAGAACAGGGGACATGGCTTCTCTTACTTAGTATTTCTCTACTCCTTTTCTACCTAAACTCTCCAAATATTTCTAAAATGTATAGCATAACCATGAAAATGAAAAACACAGCAAAGATTAAAATATAAAACTAGTATAATCACATTATAAATTTTATTCCCATTTTACCACTTACCTTTTTAAATACAGAATACTTAAGTAATGAAATACAAAGTGAATCATATATTTAGACAAAAGGGTTTCTTTTTATGGTGAGAGACGAGGCACTTAAATACTTCTGACAACAAAATTAATCTATATATTTAGCAAATTTTCTTACTCTCCCTCAAAATAGTTCTATAAATTGATTTACAACATTATACCTGTCCAAGTACTACATTTTCTGCAGTAGTTGAGTTCTTATTACAAAAATCAAATGAGTTATAAATGAAATTTAAAGTACAATGGTTTCATTTCTTCCAATGATCAGATGTTAAAATAAAGATCCCCTGGCAATGGTTTTCCTGACTTTAAATCACATCCGTATTGAGCAGCTATCAGTAGGATGATTCCTCACAAGAACCAAGCCAATGCCATTGATTTTCTTTTAAAAATAAACTACTTCTTTTCTGCAGTAAAAGGAAATTGCCTTCTCCCTAAAGAAACACATATAGCAAGAGCCATCTGACTTCCTATTGTCAAATAGACCCTGTAGCATGAGCTCTACGCCCATTCCTGGGCCCCCCCACTTTTCTCTTTTTTCTTGATGGCATCTGTTTTTACAACATGAGCGCAAGTCTAGACTGGGGCAAGACACAGCAGAGTACTTGTGACTAATTGTACGGTAGATAGGATGGAGTAGTAGAATTTGTTTTAACTTTTAAATCAGACTGTTAAAGTTAAAACGCACACAAAGTATGAAATACTGTCCTAAAAAAAAAGCAGCCCATTTGGTTTTTGGGTCTTGAGAACAGTTTCTTCAGTAACTTTGAATTAAGGAAAGAATGGAGAAATCAGTTTCTAACCCAGCTCTTCCATCAATATTTATTTTGAGGGGCTGGGGATTTAGCTCAGTGGCACAGTGCCTGCCTGGCAAGCACAAGGTCATGAGTTCGATTCCCGGTACCAGAAAAAAAACAAACAAAAAAAAAGTTATAATATTTATTTTGCAAAGATATTTTGACAACTTCAAATGATTCCAGAAAAAGCCCATCTTTAACAGACTAATCCAGGTCTTACCTGCAACACACTGCTTCTTAAATTCACCAAAAAGAAGGAGTCTCCGATGAAACAGTCATTCTCTCGCGGATGAAGTGGCTTGTTAGCAAAGGGGTCAGGATGACAGCACCACTCTTCAACTAGAGCGCCCCAGTTCTCGCTGGGCAGTGGGAGCACCCTGAGGAGTTTCCTAGCAGGAAAAGAAAAAACTATTTTTTACGGTATAAAGAGGAACTAACATTTTCTTCATTAAATCAGCATGAAAGACAACAGGCGCTTATTGGCCACACGCTCGCAGTGTTAATTTTCCCCAATTATAAAAGTAATATGTACTCATGATAGACAATTTTGAAAACGCAGAGGTATAAAATAGTCCCCTTCTCCCTCGCCAAAGATAGGCAAACATAGGTTGATGAACTTAATTTGTTTTACAATTTGGGGGGAACATGGCAGCATTTGTGTTTGTGTGGGGAAGACGCCCTGGTCTTGTTTGTCACCCAAGGCAAAGTTTGAGAATGAAAGTAAAATTTTGTTGAAAGCTTTGTTTGTGAACTGAATTGGAAGTGTTGCAAACAGAAGCATTTATGAACCAAGGTATTACTCTGTGTGTGTGTGTGTGTGTGTGTGTGTGTGTGTGTGTGTTCATTCTGCACAGAAAGCCTGGGATCAGAGAATATACACAAAAATATCTTGTTATATCATGATTCTATTTCATAGGTACTGTACATCAAAACTTTTTAGATCATTCCCTGTTAAATATTTAGATATTCAGTTTTTTATCAATAACTCTGTGGTTCCTATTAGAAAATTTACATTCATATTTAATTATTCCTTGAGGAAAAAATCTCATAGATTATAAACACAAATAATAAGCATTTTAAAGACGATTGGGAATGCCTTTCCAGAAGGGTTGGACTAACCTTAATTCTTCCACTTATGTTCTTAAGTGAATGAATACTATTTTCTATCTTTGCACAAATAATGAAAAGAAAATTCTCAATGCTGCTTTGACACCTCAAGTTACTGGTGAGAATGAGTTTAGCTTTATATTTACTGACCAAGCTTCTTCTGTGAATTATGATCAGTGACCATTTCGAATAGGATATTAGTACATTCTTATGAATCTGTAAAAGTATACTCTGTATGAAGAGTATCATCCCCTTGTTGCATTGTCTCAGTGTTACTGTCTTTTATAAATCATCTAACATTTTCTTCTGCGATTTCTTCCATTATTCTATTCTAATAAACTTTTCATTTTAGATAATTTTAGATTTACAAACAAGTTACAAAGACAGTACAGACAGTAGCCATATACACTTCACCCAGCTTTCTCTAAAGTTAATGCAGCATCTTACACAGCCATGGTAGATTTTTCAAAACTAGACTATATGGATTTCATCAGCTTTTCTACACTATCCTTTTACTTAGTTCATTTTATGGTAACACATCTCATTTAGTCATCATGTGTCTGTGGTCTCCCCTAGTCTGTGGGCAGACATGTCGTTTGTAACTACAAAGAACAGAGCTAGGAACAACAAACCCCAATGTTAGGGAGAACTATAGGGATACAAAGAGCTCTCCCTTTCAAATTAGGAAATGCCGTATCACCGGCATCATTCGCACTGATGCCGAACTGTGAGGATATTGAGACATAATATTTTCAACACACATTTCAAGTCTACTAATCAGGCATTCTATTGGCACAAGATATGAACACATGCAGTCCCTTCTCTCAAGGTACTCACATTCTAATAGGAAATAACGAGTTAGACACAGTAACAAAATTACATGAGAGGAGTGTGGTTCTAAACTCTTCAAGGCAGGGGCTTATACAGCTTCCTTTAATGAGAGCATTACCCCCTTTCCTCAAATGCACATTCACACACACACACACACACACACACACACACACACACAGAATCTGCGTTTTACTTTGGGGGATTCAGAACAGCACACACAAAGTGCTAGGGAAGTAGAACGATAGAGGGACTTCAGAAAAGAGGTAACAACTGAATTGGCTTTGGAAGGGTAGTTTCCCCGGCAGTGAGAAGAACTTTGCGCATCAGGGAAGAGACAGTGTGATGGCAGGCAATGCACTTCTTACCTAACCACTGCACACCGACCGTCTCACACAGCTCCTCCAATATTTGTTGAAGGAATGAAGCAGCATATTTGAATAACTATAACATGTGAGGTCCCTGGCTGCGTTTGTTGTATACTGGGATCAAAGGGTTAATAAACCCTTTCCTCTTGCTGCTTAAGACTCTGACCTTTAGTTTAACCACCTAGTTCTGTTACCCTGGAAACCAGGTAAGATCATAGGCATCAACTATATTGCTAGGCAACAGTGCTTACAGTAAAAATGATCCCTGATTGGTAAACTGCATCTGGACTGTGAAGCACGATGGATGGGCTGTAAACACCTGATAAAAACTCCACGCTTTGTGCTTCCCTGAAGGCAGTCTCTTGTAGGGAACTCAAGAAATGATTGCCAAAGAATTGTTACCAGAAACACTGCTTAGAACCTGAGGCTTCTTCTAAGCCAGGGCAGCCACTAAACCCTCCTGATACGGATCATGTATCATGAGACTGGAATCACATAGGGAGGCAAGAGTCCCCAGGTGGGTATAAAACTGGCAGGAACCCCGCAGAGTCCCTCCTAAGAGGAATTCTTCATGCTCCCTGGCCGGTAAGCTGAGGCCTGTAGGAGTCTTTTAAGTCTGACTGTGTAGATGGATTTAAGAAGGCCCTTGAGGGACACCCACCCTCCTTAATGCCTTAGACTTTGTGAGATAACAATTACCATCTTCCCGTCGCCAGAGGAGAAAAGTGAGGCTCAGAAATGTTACATAATCTGCTCAAGTTCACAGAATCAGAGGTGTGAAGTGATGTCAGGATCTTAATCCAGGTCTTCCTAAACCCAAAACTAAATTCTTTTCTTAGGAATCTATTCCCTCCCCTAGTAACTCAGTAGAGGAGACTGGACAGATGGAGTCGTGGCAAACTGCATGGGGTGTTACATGCCGTGCCAAGGGATAAGACTTGGTCCTACAAAGCAGTGGGCAGCGTTGTAGCCTCAGGAAGGGACAGGTCAGACTACAGTTTTGTTTTGTTTTAAGACAAGGTCATACTACGTGGTTCTAAGAATCTTTACCAGTGGGTAGAGTAAGAATGAGGTCTAAATAGGTTTGAGGATCTTCTCTATCATTAAGGTTCTCTATCTCCTGGCATTCTGCACACAGGACCAATAAACAGACCCCTTAATACAATAAACATACCCCTTAATACAAGAAATGAAACTGCATTTACAGAGGCTTGGGAGACTTGATACACATTAACATAAAATAAGGTGTTTCAAACTTAACTTGACCCCATATCACACTGAATGAACACTGTAATACTTTTTTTTTTGGTACGGGGAATCAAACTCAGGACCTCGCACTTGCCAGGCAGGCACTGTGCCGCTGAGCTGTATCCCCGGTCCTATAATATACCTTTTAACCAGCTATGTAAGCCACGGGAAGCAAGAAAGTGCTTAATTTGCAAGTCACTGCAAAGATAAAAGGGTTTTTACAGCAGAAAGGAATCTGATGTTTTGAAAAAACATAAAACATTTAAGAACAAAAGATGTATTTTAATCACAGCTCTACTGTAAGTATATCTAAAACCCTGAAAAGTGTACTTTGATATGATCTGCTTCCCAAGAGAAGCAATTTCAAAACAGATACCATTTTTTCCAAGGTAATTTAGATGAAAATCTGGTAATGCTCAAAAAGGAGTGAAATGACTTCTTAAATTTTCTCTGAGCTTATGGTTTTATGATGAATACATATTTATAATAAAGAAAAATTTGTCAGTTATATTTAATGCATCCTTTTGGGAAATAATAATTGTAACACACAATTTTAATAAATGCTGTTCATTTCTGTTGCTTTATTTGATATTCAAACATACATGCCTACATGTTTATAGCAGCATAATTCATAGTAGTTAGATTTTGGAAACAGTGTATATGCCCATGAGCAGACGGACAGATACAGAAAATGTGGTATGTATACCACATAATATATGCTATTTGGGAACATAATATTAAGTGGATTGAATAAGACACACAAGCTTAAGTATCCCATCATTTCTCTTATATGAGAAACTACACAGAAAGAGAAAAAGAGGGAGCACAAAATAGAAGATAGATTAAAAAAAAAAGTAGGGAGAAGTTCAAATAATTCCCCAAATTATCTGTTAGTTGTTTCAAAAGTATTCTGATGCATGCTAATTTGTTACATTTATACTACTAGTTTCTTTTTGTTAATTGAAAAGAAAGTTATGTTCTTTTGTTCTTTATTTGTTTTTTCCACTTGGTAAGAGACTTGACTTTATCTATGACTTACACTAACATTTTGACCATTCTTTAAGATCGTGATACACAGTATATTAACTATCATTATTCTCTAATTATCCTATTCTGGAATTTTGTTTTATTTTTTCATAGATGAGTACTTTTTATGTTTTCTTTATTAATATCTACTTGTATAACATTAAAATAAAAATTTAAAATAAAAAAATGAATATAAAGTGTCTATAACTTTAAAGCCAGCCATTAATCCATGAAAACAATGACAGGGAATAATATACAGCTTTTACAGACTGAATCATGACCAAGAGCATGTTAATGAGCTTAAGATTAACAAACATCAAAAGCTCAAAATACAGCTGCTGAAATTTAGATAAATTTAAGTAACATTCTCCAACCAATAGGCCACAAATCCCATAAAACTAGCTTTGCACTTTAATACTGTTATGTACACAATATAACTAGGCCCATAAAAGTACTATAATTTTATTTTAAAATTTGTGCAATATTGCCAACAGTCAAGTTTTGCACTTTGCGGGAGTGGGGGGGTGGTAGTTACTGGGCATAGAACCCAGGAACACACTAAGCATGTGCTTTAGCACTAAGCTATTCCCCAGGTTCTGCACTCTTTTTAAACCTCTTTGTTCTGTTTCATTAAAAAGTAACCGTATTCACAAGAGTAGTTGTAAGACTACAATTACAGTTGACCTGCCAAATAGTTCAATTAAGTGGTTCCATATTCTGGTGTTTCACATTGCCGTGAAGGCAATCCTGCTGGTCTCCTAGAGTTTCACTATTTTCATGAGCTCCTGCTGGTACAGGCAGAACAGGATGGACGGATCGAGAGACCGCAGGAGAACGCTCCTACCCCAATAGTCTGAAAGTCAAAGGCTTGGTTTTGAAAATCTGTTTGGCCAACTGATCTTCCAGTCTGACATGAGTGTATTTCAGAAAAACACAATAAACTGCAAACACACTGATCACTTGGCTCTTTCTTTCTTTCTAGTTTTTTTTGAACCAGGGACTGAACTCAGGACCTTGTGCTTGCCAGACAAGAGCCATGCCTCTGAGCTATACACCCCAGCCCACCTGACTGTTTCTAAGACTACTCAGAAAGCAGTAATTTTCATTATTACTGCTTGATCCTATGACCTATGTAGTCTCAAAAGGAGCAAAATAAGAAATTGAACACATTCATATTTTATAGAAGAACTTTGTTGATCTGGTAAAACTGTAAATTGGAAAATCGTTTTGTACAGAAAAAAGGCATTATTTACTTTCGGAAAACCAAAACAAATTGACTGAGAATGTGTGATTCTACATAGAGAAAAACCTGGTGCTATGCGCTAAATGATATTAATGAGTCTTCTTGGGTTCAATTGTCTCTATATCTTATTTCTACGGTTTGCTTGACAAGAACCTTTACTACTAAGAAAAAAGAAAAAGAAAAAAAAGTAACAAGTTTTAGCCTTGCACTATCCAAATAGTCCTGAAGCATCACAGAAATTCAAACTAAACTTCAAGAGACTCACTGATCAGAGAAGTTTCCTGTTGCAAAGACTGAAGAGTTTATCTAATCCAACTTTTCCATTTTACAGATAAGGAAACTGAGGCCCATAAAATTAAAGTAACTTATTTCTAGATAAGAAGGCTAGTCAGTAAGTAGATTTTAACTCTAGTCCAGGACCCCCATTAGGGGATCTCCCAGTGTGGTTCCATCAACAGTCCAGGTTATAAGCCTCTTCCTGAGAAAGATGCTTACAATTAGTTGATTTCGATGATAGCACACACACAAGGTCTTCTGGAACACCTCTGGCTTTGTTTGCTACTTAAAGAGCCCTGAAGTTCTCCTCCCCACTGCCATATACAGTAACAGATAATCAGAGAGAAGTGAGAAGACCACACAGACCATCATGCGACCTATGTGCTGAGACTAGAGGAAGCATACCTTTCCACTGTTTGAACCATGCTACACAAGAATGAGATGTGCAAGGCCTTCAGTCACATACCAAGGATTTGTCCATTTAAGAGGCGGATATAGTCCAGACACAGAGGTGTGCTAAGAAAAGGCTTTCAGGTAAGGCTTGCTAAAACAAGCCAAGGACCAAGCACACTATCATCTCAGAGAGAGGTGACTTATTTCTCTAATATATATGGACTATATTAATCAGAAGGTATGAACACTAAACTAGACTATTTGCTACTTTTCTAAAAAAGACACTTTGGAAAGGGGAGTAGGAGTCCATAAAGTATTTAAAAAGAGTTTGTTGAGTACTTACTGTTGTATGTTACATTCCTTAACGCTATGGACAAGTTTGGAAAAGAGGCCTATGAGAAGCTGCAGTGATATGGACATGGTTCCCAGCTACTAAGTGGTAAAGCTGCAGTGAAAACGCAGGTCCTTTCCCACTCTTGCCTGTGTACCCAGGGCCTCCTGATGCTCTGATTGTGGAGTACATGAAGCTGTTCTCCAAGGTCAGCCTCCGTGGCCTTCCACATCAACTCCATGGTGGTGGAAAGGACTGACAAAAACAGAAGATGTAATTCCTAAGTAGGAACCCCAGGCATCTTTCCTATCCTTACCCTTTTCCAATGAAACACGAGTACCAGCTAATGAAGAAAGAACTGATATCCCTTACTGGAAACGGTAGCGGGAAACACTGTTACACTGAATTTAACTTGTTCCAACTGTGAGCTTCCAGGGCACATCATTGTTGGACAGGAGGGAATGTTTCAGAAACTTCACCTGAGAATTAAACCAAAGTCTGAAATAGGCTGAAAGGAGGACAAGGTTTTTGGTTAAGCAGCAATGAAGCTGAGCTCTCTTGGACCTTTCCAGATAAAGTGGGCCTGGCCCCAAGTCCCTACTCTGTAACTGTTAGGTAACTTGAACAGAGATGCTCCCCTCTCCTCTGCAGATTGAAAGTCACATCATTCCTCACTCCAGATAATCATTCTAAAGATGCTGCTCTGTAAACCTCCCAAAACACGAGGGTAATTTGGGCCATCTCATCTACCTGGAGTACTGCCAAGAACCAGACAGCAAACAAGAAAAGGCTGGTGGAAGCTCAAAATAAATACACTAGAGTCTAGTCCACTCAACCCAGGAACAATTTACTGGGAGCACATTATTCATCAGGCACTGTGCCTGATGCTCATGATGATGACGATAAAAATAATAATTATCACAGCTGCTAACATATATTGGATACTTGCCATGTGCCAGATACTGCTATTAACACTTAAAGCCATTTCATCCGCCCAACAACCCTTGCAGCTAAGTCATACTTATTATCATTCATATTATCTCAGTAAGTAAATCCAGGCACAGAGTGATTAAGCAATTTACCCACAATCACACAACTAGTAAGTTGTAGATGAAAATTTAATATGGCTTCTGAATCCTCACTAGCCACTACCATATACTGTAGTTCAGTAAAGTGGGAATAAAGAATACAGAGATTAATAAAACTACCCCTGCCTGTAGGGCTTCCTGTTTAATTATGATGGCAAGCAGAAACAAACCTCAGCAGAGCACCTTACACAAGCCAGGTTCACGGACGGATCTGGTAGCACGCCTGGGCAGCACACAGGCAGGAGCTGAGCAGAGAGACGTGGGGGTGGGGGTGTACTCAGCATGAGCACCTTCCACAAGGCCCCAGGGTGAAGAACAGCACAGAAAAGACCGTGAGACTACACACTGATCACCAGAGCTGCACGCGGAACACGAGCAGTGAGTGTGTGCCGCGGGTGCACGGGGTGTGCGGGAGAGGGCAGGAAAGTGCAGACAGAGAGAGAAGCTCACCCAGGAGTGAACAAGGCACGCTAAGGACGAAAGGCTGCATCCTGATCAAGGGAAACAGATCAGACACACTAGCTTGAAATTTTGCATGTGTTCTCTCATAGGAGAAATCCAAAATATAAATAAATTAAAAGACAAAAGAAAAGATGACAGGAAAAGGGAGAGAGATCTTTTGTTAAAAGGGAGGAGATCAAGAGATAAAGGGAAGGAAGAGAATGGCGGAAGGAAAGGAATTTTAAAAAAAGAATTATGATGTGTTAAGCACATATAACAACTACCCACAAGGAACAGCAAACATGTACTAATAACCATTTTTTAAAAAGAATGCATCCTGAAATGGGGGACGGTGAGGGGACTGGAACAGGGAGGCTAACTGCACCGTAGCACAACGGCTCAGCAGCGCAGCAATGGATGAAAGGAGGGAAGAACTACACGAAGGCCAGGCAGATGCAGCCCGGCACCAACTGCAACCAGGTGAGAAGACAGTGGCATCGGTGGGCAGAGGAAAGTAAACCTGTGATCCACGAGAAGTAGCCAAAATACCCGGTAACTATGTCCGGGGAGACATAGGGGGGAACCCAAGGCAACAGCACCGGGCCTCTACCTTGAGGACACAGGCTGAGGGACGCCATTATTGAGACAGACACTGGAGGAGCAGTAGGTTGCATAAGTGAAGAATCTTCATTCACAGGCACTTGTCTCAGGAAACCCATATATGCAGAATCCTAAATTCTTTCTTTAAAAACTGCCAACAGGAACAAGGTTTTCATGGGTCTTTCCAGCCTATGAGTGATTTGAAGCTGAAAATTCAGGGAGAGGAGTTTGTACCAAAGGGAAAAAAAATCAAAAAAAAAAAAAAAAAGAAGAAGAATCTGACAGCAGGATGACAGAAGACAAAAAAATAATTAAAAAGCCAACTTGGGAATGCAAAGAAAATAACAGAGTCTCGCCTGCCTCCATAGGGTAATCACAGCACATCACAAAAACGGGTTACAAGATTAACTTCATCACTGAGAAAAGGTTAATTTCTGCTCTGTATGCTCTGTTTTAATAAAAGGGGGAAATAGGAAGTGGATTTTAGGAAGGCATTGATAGAATAGAAACAGCTCAAATCAAAAATCCTGCTGCACACGCTTGTATGAGGCACAAAATTCACTTATGCGGAGACTGTCACCATCACAATGGAGAAAACACAGGAGAAGGAGAGCCTGTCTCTTTTCAGGAAGAGCGGGGCTTCCGTGATGGGCCCAGGCTCTTCCCAAGCCCAGCCTTCCCTCAGCCGGCCTTCCACAGTTGCCCTCATCAGCTGGAGGACGCTCCAGCCTCACCACTGTGAGGTTTGCGGCTGATTTTGTTCAGAGACATGAAAGCCAAACACTTACTCATTTTAAGGGTATCTATACTGTTCCATTTGTAATTACTTCACAAATTCTGATAAAGATAAAAGCCATTGCCCGGCACAAAATTAATCAGCTCTAAATGCATCCTTACCTGTCCTTTATTATGACTTCACCGCAGGACTGGCAATAAAATGTGCAACATTCTCGGGCTTGTGAACCTTGATTAAAGACTGAAATCAGTTCTAAAAGAAAAGCAATGAAATAGCAAATCTTAGAGGTTTGGAAGAGACACAGTAACACGCTTAAAAGGTTTACTAGCCACGATAAATTACCATCAGTACACACTACGTACAGTACACACTATGAATGATCTACCCAGAAACACACATTTAATTAGTGTTACCAGGTGGCTCAACCAGAAGCAAACATGGTGAAGTGTTTTCAAAGGCAGATTTTGCTGAATGTCTCATAGCTAGGCAGTGCCCTGGTTACCCATGTAACATGAGAACGTTACTCCTCTCGTTCTATGAATGAGGCTTAGGAATAAAGGATGAGAGGACGGACCACTTCCCTCAGGTCCAGCTAGCCACCCAGGCCTCGCCAGCTGGGCCTTTCCTCTGTGTCCTCTCACTGTGCGGTTTGTCATCAGCATGACTGCTGGTACACAGAGCTCCTAAAATGTAAATTGAACCTGGTTTTAACAAGGTTTATGTCTAGCTTGGCACATGACCAATGTATACAAACAAAAGGCATCTCCAGGTGCCTGGGAACAGGACGGCCCCTGGAAGAATCTATCTTCCAAAAGGAAAATTCAATTTCTGATGAAAGCTGTGAGAAAATGTTAAAAGCCGTGAAGGAGATACGTATTTCCCAGACTATATGAAATGGCAGCATAAGCATACTCCTCTGAATTTCTGTCATTTCATTGGTGAAAAAAAGGAAATTTTCATTTAAATGAAAACTCTAAAATACTGTCTCTAGTTGAAAAACTGAGGTCACAGCCATTAAAAGCCAGCAATCTGAATTTGGTTTGTGTTATTTTGCGTGTATTTTAAGGATTAAAACACTGATGCTAGAAAGTCTTTGCCTTTGCAATTAAAAATTCTGCAGTTTAATTTCTAACGGTGCTCATAAATTCCTACAGCACCAAGGCGAAATAGAGGATTTCTATTTCACTTCGCGCAGGTAAGGACACTGAGGTGAGGCAACCAAAATATTCTTTGTAGAACTAAAAAAATAATTTTCAGTGAAACACCACCCTCTGCTGGCCACTGGGTCAGGTTTAAAAGCCAGAACTTTCTCATACCAAGGAATCCTGGAAGAGCCATGTGTAGGGACTAACTCCAGTGTTAGCGTTAGAGCTACTGTAACCAGTTCTGTTTCGGGGCTTATCACTGATGTGACTGACCTTATACTCAAAACAGTGTACAGTATGACATCCAGTACGGTTGACCTTAAGAGGGTGTTCTTATAACTAAAAAGTTGACTTAAAAAAAAAGCCCTGAAACACAACTGAATGTCAAATTTCAAAAGTCACTTCCTACCACACAGTTTGACTCAAGTCCACATCCGTATTCAACTACCTGATATTTATTCATTCAGCAAATATTTATTCTTCACCTATTATGTGGAGAGCAGTAAAGCAATTAAGTGCTGAGGAATCTACTTTGCATGTACTTTCATGCACCATGGAACAAGCCTTTGAAAGTTTTCCTTTTCTGATTTTTGAGCAAAATGTTTCAAAAGTATAAAGCAATAGGAGACCAGTGCACACAAGAAATGTTCTCACTCACTAGCACATGGCAGTCGATTTATTTTGTTCTAAACAGTACTGGCTGAGTTCAAAAATTTTAAATGATTCCAGTTTTGCTCTTTGGACATCCACAGTTACGGAATATGGGTGGGCAACAACCAGTATTATGTCCCTGGAGGTCACCACCCCCCATTTTAAAGTCACAACCCTCGAAGCCACTGTGACTTCCATGCCCACCTCGCCCCAGTTTCCAGGCCCAACACAGAATTCCTGCTGTGGTTACCGTTGCTACAGGAGAAGGTGATGACATCAAAGATCCAGGCTCCCGCAGCGCCTTCCCCAGAACAAAAGCTCCTCAGCCCATTGTCAAGCACATGCAGGGAGCTCGTTGTCTTTTTTTCCATCTTGGAGACCTCATCCTTCTTTCCATGATTATTCCAACTGTCATCCTCGTGTTTATCCTCCGCCACTTAAGCTCCGTGACGTTCCTTTCCCTACCTCCTGCTCCCACAGCCAACTGTGGAACTTAACTAGTTACTCACTAATTCAGAACTTTAGCAAAAATGACTCTTAGGCAAAAAAGCAGTGAAAGGCTGTTTATCTTCTCTCTCCTTTCAAATGTCAGGCAACTGCCCAACCTCTCCTAAATGAGAAATGCAGTTTTCCCTACTCCAGGCTCCATGCAGCTTAGATGAAAGATTTATGAGAGGGAAGTAGCAATGACCCCTCATAATATTTCTCAAATATGTATCACAACAGACTTCTACAGCCTCTGTTCCCCTTCACACTTTATTCCTCCAAAGCATGATTTTTTTACTTACATTGTAAGGGATGCAATAAGCCAATAATTACATTGAATAAATAATCATAAGATCTTACAGAATTTCCTACTCCCTTAACCCATATACAATTTAAATTGTTTTACAATTATAAAATACTGCAACTTTAACAGTCATAGTGACAAGCAAAATCAAATTATGGCCTATCACACTCCACTCCAGGATAGCTATCGCTGCTTTATTCTGAACAGTCTCTCATGTACAATTTGCTTCATTCAGTCATGGGGTAAACACTACCTCCCCAGAATGGCCTTCCCTGACTTCCCACCCTTCGCTCAGCCTTGTCACTCCGTATCCCATTACTCTGCTGTACGTTACCCACAGCTCCTCTCAGTCTGTAAGTAAAATTATTTGTGCAGGATCTATCCTATACAGTAGAATGTAGGCTTCTTGGGAATAAAGGCCTTCTGTAGCTTGTTCATGTCTGTATTCCCAGCACCTAGATCAAGGCCTCACACACAGCATGAATGAAACTATTTGCTGAATGAATGAACTTCTATGCAATGCTTTAAAATCAACTAGGACTTACAAAATGGCCATCTAAAATTGATATCCTAACCATGAACC